TTCCACCAAGTTTTACAAATCATCTATATATCATCGATATTTCTTATAATCCATTTGTTTGTAATTGTGACTTGTTGTGGTTTATTGAATTTACTAACAAAAATAAGCATAAAATGGATTCCTTTCCAAAACGTTATACATGTTCCAATATAGAAAATGTACAAATAACCAACAGTAAGATTAACATCAAATCGTGTTTGTTAGCAAAAGAAACCTCTAAAATTATTCAATGCACCTGTATTGCAACGTTTTCGTTAATGTTACTCATATCGGTCGTGTACCGTTATCGCTGGCGATTACGTTACATGTTTTACGTTTTGAAATTTCACCGACGTAAGTATTCGACAAAAAGAGGAACGGCGTATACCCACGACGTTTATATTAGTTCGGCTGATGCTAATTTCAATACGGTTTATTACCAAATTATCATGGAACTTGAAAATAGAGGACTCAAAGTTTACTTTCCACATCGAGACGGCATGCCAGGGACGATGGTTTTAGGAGACTGTTTGGATAAAATAGATGACAGCAAATGTGTTATTTTATGTTTGTCAAATGCCTATACTCATGATTATCTGTGTGAATTTGAAGCCCATATGGCATTAGAAAGATCTTTTATTGAACATGGTGACAGTAATGCTCTCATTGTGATCGTTTTAGAAGAAATTTGTTCTCTGAATGTGACCAAGATCATACATAAATTAACTCGGACTGGTGATTATCTTATATGGGACGAAAATCACACATCCGACAACCTATTTTGGAGACAACTTGGCGAAAGAATGGAAATAGTTTAAACTGTGTTTTAAAGGAATGACTTATATTTTTTTCTCGTCTATCTGTATTCAGGGTGGGGCTTTTGTTGAAGCTCCCGCCAATGTAATTACCAGATGGTCTTGGGTAGTGTACACTGTTTACAACGTAATAACAATTGCTAAATGTTATTTAAAGGCTTAATTTGGGTATGAATCGACAAAATATTGACGGAGTTTCAGATCTTAATTTACATGTACTGTAAATGCATTAAAAGTGGCTTGTGATTACAAGTAGGTTACTGTCGTTGTCACCTTTATATCAAATTGTTGTGAAGCGTTATATCCACATTGTTGGGTGAGTTCCAATCTGAGCACCATCCGACAAATATTTACGGAGTTAGGGCCCTTGATATACTGAAGACCTATCTGGTAAGTTTGTGTATCTTGCACGAATTGTTACTTATTTTTTGACGTAGCACGAAAAGTGTACAAATCAGCTTTTCAGCACATTGAAACGTGGTCTGGCTCTTTAAGAAGACGAGACCCATTTAATTCACAAACATTCCAAACTGAAGATAGTGGAATAATAAAAGAAAACGAACGACAGTTTTTACCCTATTTACGACACGGCATGTGTCTTAAACATGGCTTCTATGAATCATAAAACATATAAATTTTAATATACATGTATTGCTTTTGTAAACACTAATGTACAAAATCCTGTTTGATGTTTTGATGTTTTGTTGTTGTTGTTGTTGTTGTTGTTGTTGTTGTTGTTGTTGTTGTTGTTGTTGTTGTTGTTGTTGTTATTTACGTGGATTATTCTAGACACACATGGATTTGAAGGCTCAAATTTCTACGCAAAACGCTAAATCCCTACTTCCGCTTTGGGATAAAATACGTCGATTGGATAAGGATCTTGTACAAAGGGTTTACTGCATTTACAATCGCAGACTCGTGATATACTCCGTAAACAGAGAAAACTTGCTTAAAACAACGTTCTAAATGATAAATGGATTAACTGTCAATATAGTTAACACTTTATATGAAATCTTTGTCTGTCGCTGTCCATAGACTGCCATATTAAATTCCCAAGGCGGAATAAGGGAATCAGTGTGTTGCGCATTACAGATTACAGATTAGCTAAAAAAAATTCCCGTTTCGGAGACTAGGGTACCATTGTTTAAAAAAAGGGACGCATCTGTCCCTTTAAACACGATCTTAGGATGTTTCACGGTAAATCAGAGTGGTGGAAATAAAAATTTAGCGAACTTGAATACATACATGGACCGCGTCAACTAATTCATTTGCCACATGTTTCCATGTTAAACACGCAATTTAACCTTTTATAACTTTTTTCCGAAATCTCATTGAAAACTTTCCAATATATTACATGACAGCCTGTCCAAAAAATTTAATATATTATGACCATGAAAATCTTGAGCTTGTCAAATTGAAAGTAGACCACTACATTTTATCAACATCCGTTTTGACTGTCACTGTACATATCATAATCATCCCAAAATCATCATCGAATGAGAAAACTTCCTTTGTAAGTGCGAGGTGATAGTATTGAGCGTGAGGTCAACTCTACAGCCATCTTTACAATTTTAAGCTATTACGAACTTTGTACCATCGATTTCGTTTCACAGAAGTTTGTAAATGTAGCGATTTGATTGGATTGTACGTTAACGAATACAGTCAATCAGGGTCCTCACCAGAATGTATGTTAATAATAGTAACTGTATGTCGAAGGTAAATCGACTGTATTCGCTGGCGTACAATCCAATCAATTCTCTTCATTCCGTGATACAAGAAAGGTGGCTATTATAGTCAAGGTTTCTTAGTTACGTATCCAAATCTTACCTTACCCATCTTTCCTTTTAGACCTGATCAAATATAATGAACTAGCTTATCATGCATGTAATCCAATCCTACTATCAGAATACTTCTGTTATCTTCAATAACTCTTTCATACACTCTACTATAAGTGAAATTAAAAATATTTTTAAGCATAATTTACAACGTTATTAATCATGAATATTATAACCTCAAAATTAGATATGACATGTAATATATTTTGCTTAATGTTATTGTTTTTTTTTATTTATAAATGAATTCTAAAATCCACCATTACTTCATTACTTTTAAGTCCTGTACTCTTCTGCAAAATTCTGCGTAATTGTGCTTATAAAGACGGGCAACGGGCACTCTTTTGTCCAGGGATCTTTAGCACACGAGGCCCTCGGTTTTTATTGCCCCAAAGGAACGACAAGACGCCTTATCAGTCCGTCCGATCTGCATCACTGACGCGGGGAACCGGTTTGAAAAATCCCAAGGTATTATCTTGACCCATGACAGGATTGAACCCTGAACCTTCGGGTTAGCGGGCAAGCGTCTAACTCACTGAGCCACTGACTGCGGCCCTAATATCCCAGTTCAAGGGAGATTAGAATGCTGGGCCAAAGTCCATTGATATGACTTCAATTTATTATGACCGCTAATCCTATATTTGCTACCACAAGCAACTGATGATCGCTATGGTGTGGGGGCACCTTTATGACCACTAATCCTATATTTGCTACCACAAGTAACTGATGATCGCCATGGTGTGGGGGCACTTTTATGACCGCTAATCCTATATTTGCTACCACAAGCAACTGATGATCGCTATGGTGTGGGGGCACCTTTATGACCACTAATCCTATATTTGCTACCACAAGTAACTGATGATCACCATGGTGTGGGGGCACTTTTATGGCCGCTAATCTTATAGTCTATTCGCGACCATACGCAAGTGATGATCGCCATGGTGTGGGGGAACCTTTATGACCGCTAATCCTATATTTGCTACCATAAGCAACTGATGGTCGCTATGGCGTGAGGCCACCTTTATGACCGCTAATCCTATATTTGCTACCATAAGAAACCGATGTTCGCTATGGCGTGAGACCACCTTTATGACCGCTAGTCCTATATTTGCTACCACAAGTAACTGATGGTCGCTGCGGCGTGAGGCGAGTGATGATCGCTATGGTGTGGAGCACCTTTATGACCGATAGTCCAATACTTGCTACCAAACGCAACTGCTGGTCGCTATGGTATGAGGGCACCTTTAAACCTTTCAACAACAACGTAATATGAATCGCACCCCGCGACAAGTCATATGACTAAATTATGTGTTTGTGATGCAGTAACATGACATGAAGATTTATGATATAATTTTCTTCAACTATCACATTCTTGAGAAGTAAACGTGCAGGTAAGAACATGTTATAATTGTGAGTACATGTATATATTTGAATAAGGACAATCTTGAACTATGTACACATACGTTAAACCTTTGGAGTGATGCGAAAGAGCTCGTGATGACCTTGCGGTTTGCATACTTTGTTTTTTTTTTTTTTATAGAAACAGACTTTTTCTTGACTGTCAGCCCCAGTGGTATGTGGAAATTAGATCAATTAATTGCTAGATTAAAGGCCTGAACATACAGACTACGTTTTGCGGTGCGGCGTGCGACGCGCGTTTTTCGTACATAATTCCTCGAGGTGTTTTCATAAACATTCATACGCCGCGCTGCAGTCAATACCTCCAGAGTGAATTTTAGTACGGCACCGCTATACAGGGTGGGTCTAGGCAAATCAGTAGCCAGTTTCTAGTCGAGTCATTAACCCCGGTACATTCAAATTTAACCCAATTGGTTCTTCGACAAAATCGTGCCTGTTTCGCGGGGTTCTATTGGAATGACAAAAAAGGCACGCTGTGTTTCTGTCCAACATACCGCAAATGTAGACCGAACCGCAAACCGCAAACCGCAAACCCTATGTTCAGGCTTTAAGCCCCAACGACTGAAAAATTGCAGTCACCTTCAGTGCCGTTAACTACTCTCTGAAAAAACGATCCAGGTGTTATTATTTTATACAACAGATCCGATGCTTAAGATGCATTTAACGCCAGCCGATCTTAGATCATCTTTTGAAATGGTTTAATTTTCATATAGCAGCATTTACCAAGCAATGCAATTGACCTCATAAACCGTAAAATTGTATGGTCTATGACACTGGGATTGCCATTCCCTTTTGGCTAATTCACATAGCTGATTATGTTGATTTTGTCATGTCTTTCAGGTTTCGGGATGTAAATTATACCTTTAAAGCAGAGACCTAGTGCATGTAAAGAGTAACTTATATGTGAACATAATCAATTTGGCTGCATCTCTCTTGAAGCAAATCGAAAAACACTATGACCTCCTTAAATTCTGGTCAAACATTACCAGAGAGGTTAGAATACTGGGCCAAGGTACATCCAGATTCAGATGCCTTCGTTTTTATTGATAAAGATGGGTCAAGAACAGCATTAACATGTAAAGAGATCTTTGTTCACGCTACTGACTTTGCTAAGCATCTGAAAGGTCTTGGTTTAGATCCTGGAGATGTTATTTGTAGTTTGTTGCCAGATTCACCACATGGTATAATTGCCTTTTTTGGGATATTGTTGGCTGGTTGTGTTGTTTTTAATGGAAATCTTTCTTTAAAAGATGGTTCGTTCTTGATACAGAATCTGGTCAAAACCAAATGCCGCGCTTTAATTCTGTCCTCCGATGTAAATGAAGAACGTCGCTGTATATTTACCAAACTGTTTGAGGTACAAGATGGGAACAAAGTTTCATCAACAGTGTTGCCAGATTTAACCCATGTCGTGTTCCCTTGCAAAAACAAAAGTTTGGAATTTCTGTGGAGGAACCTAATCACAGAATCTGTTGATGACGTCATACGACATAATCCGAAAGCCGATGCAGTTATCTTACTATCTTCCGGGACAACTGGTATGTCTAAGTTAATTGTTCACCCAGGAACACTTTTCACAACTCTTTTGAAGGGAGTATATGGAAAGCATACAACCAAAATGATGAATTATCTATCACTTAGCTGGATGCCCGGGCTTCCATTCTTCTACCTTTCAACCGGCCAGACAAGAGTGTTCATTGATCAAAGCAAACCTCCACAACTCGACGGACTAATCCAATTAGTATACGAAATCATCATGAATGAGAGGTGTGACATCGTCTTAATCGGCCTGCCAGAACTGCTCGACTTGATCAAGATTTTAAAAACCAAACCCGATTTGCAGAACTGGCCACTAAAGTATTGTCATTTGGGTGGACGGCCTTTATCTAAATCATTTGTTGATACTGTTCTACCATATTTCCACTCAGTATGCAACGCCTATGGAACTTCAGAAACTAATGTAGTTTCCTTCGTGCAAATTGGAGATGGTAGGGAATTTGAAGATTTTAACGCCGGGCGACCTTGTACTGGAACTGAAGTTATAGTCAAGGATGCAAATAACCAAATTTTAGCCAAGGGAAAACGTGGAAATATTTTTGTGAAAACCAATTGGATGTTTAGTCGGTACTTTGGTGATGAGGCACTTACAAAGTCCGAATTCGACGAAAACGGATTTATAAACCTCCATGACCAAGGATACGTGAATGAAAATGAAGAATTGATAGTGTTTGGTCGCACGGCGGAAGTGATCGTCAGAGGCGAGGACTATTTTCACCCTGCATGGATTGAATCCATCATACGTTCATGCCCCGATGTTGATGACGTCATTGTTGTTCCGGTTCCGGATGATATATTGCAGAAGGAAATATGCGCATGTATAGTGCTAATTCCGGGTTCAGATAGCGACGACAAAAAGGTTAAAGAATTCTGCCAAAAGAATTTTGTTAGAGAAGACTATTCCAGTGTAGGAGCTTGTCCAAAATATGTTATTTTACTGGATAATATTCCTTTAAACAGCAACAGTAAACCTGATAGGAAAGCAGTTGAAAAGATGGCCGTTAAAAAGTTAAATTTGTGATTACTGTACGCTAGCCTCTATCATCCAGTCCTTCTTTGTCTACGTACAGCTTCGACGAAGTATTGTCGTGGCCGGTTGCTTAAAATCATTGTTATATTGTCGAGTCTACTGTGGCTATTGAATCTGATTGTTTGTGAATCCTTGGGAAAAATGAATTAAATAACTTAATTTTTATGACAATTTAATAAATATAAAATATAAAATATCAAATATAAACAAACAAAACTTGTGGACATTGTCTATTTTTTCGGTTGTAAACAAGTCGTTTGAGACTTGCAGAACGAATATGCTAAAATTGTGGTTATCTCCCTTGAAAGAGTCGTAATAATATAATGAAAAAACGTAAACTATATCCTCGTCGTAGACAGACAAAGTTCGTAAAAGATTGACATTGTGAAGACGTGGTAGATGCTGGTATATTCCAATTCTATAAAGGGCCTCAGATCGACTAATTCTAAACAAACATTTCACCAGGTGTCATCAATATAGGACAAGAGCTAAGTGACGTTGAGAATGTATACCAGTTATAAGTAAGTTACAATTTGAAGAATAAAAATTGGTGAAAATTAAAAACTAAAGTCTGGGTAATTCTGGGTAAATAATTTCTTTCTTACTCCACGCTTCAATGATCCCAAATTAGATGCTTGGATAAGAGCTAAAGGTCAGAATAATGCCAAATGATTCTTACAGCCATGGTGGACCTAAAAGCAAGCATATTATTATGGTACTGGTAGTTCTACCATTTGACCAAGTTTTCTCCAGAATAGACCATTGGTAGCACTATTTTCGTCCCATATAAGATAATCACCAGTCCGAGTTAATTTATGTATGATCTTGGTAACATTCAGTGAACAAATTTCTTCTAAAACGACCACAATGATAGCATTACTGTTACAATGTTCGTAGATGGATCTTTCTACGGCCATACAGGCTTCAAATTCACACCAGCAATCTTGAGCATAAGCATTAGATAAACATATAATAACACATTTACAACTATCCATATTCTCTAATGATTCACTCAAAGCCATCGAACCAACCGTAGCATCTCTACTCGGAAAGAAAACGTTGATTCCTTTATTTTCAAGTTCCATGATAATTTGGTAATAAACCGTATTGAAATTAGCATCAGCCGAACTAATATAAACGTTGTGGGTAAACTCCATTTTTCTGTTATTGGCACACTTACATCTACGGAAATTCAAGACGAAAAACATGTAACGTAATCGCCAACGATAACGATACACAACCGACATAATCAACATTAAAAAAATCGTCGCAATACAGGTACATTGAATAATTTCAGATGTTTCGTTTTTCAACATGCACGCTTTCTTGTTGATGTTAAAGTGATTTATTTGTTTCCATTTGCCTTTAGAACATTCATAGTTTTTTGGGTACAAATTCATTTTGTAGCGATTAGCATCTGCGAATTCAATAAACCACAATTAGTCACAATCACAAACAAATGGATTAAACGCAACATTGATGATATATAAATGATTTGTAAAACTTGGTGGAAAATCCTGTGCTTTAATGGTAGTTAATTTGTTACCATTCAAAAATAGTACTCTCAATTCTGTCAATTTGCTAAAATAACCATTCGGAATGAAATGAATTGCGGTATTGGACACATGAAGATCTTGCAGTTTGAGTAAATATTTAGGAATTGCGCTGGGTAAAAATAGAATTTCACTGTTACTTATATCGAGCCACATGAGCCTACCGACATGTCCAAATAGGTCATTCCAGTCCGTGTTTTTCATCGTAGTGAGGTAGTTACCGGAGATATCTAACCGTTGCAGGCTGGGACACAATCTTAGAATCGTGCTCACGTCGACTTGACGCCGATTGAAAACCAAACGGTTAAAGCGAATGTAAACTTTATGCAAAGTTGAGCTATTGAACGCATAGGGTTCAATGCTGTTTAAGCTCTCTGTTTTTTCCAAAGTTATTATTCGCAATGATTTAAATTCAGAGAAGGCATTGGTCGGTATACTTTGAATTCCCGTAGCTGAAATATTTAACAGTTGCAGACTATCCAAACAGTCTAGGCGGTCAGTATGTAATTTACGAATGCAGTTGTTATCCAGAAAAATCCAATATATTTTTGGGAGGGTTACTCCATCACGACAAAAATGTGGTATACGGGTTAGCTCGTTCCTAGATAAACTCAACGTTTCTAAAGTTTCCGAGTGTCCAACATTGATTTGACGAATGGAATTTAAAGAAAGGTCCAAATGTTTCAGCTTCTTCAAGGATTGAAATATCTCGGTAGTGGAAACATTCTTGATACTGTTATTTTTAACAGAGAAAGTCGAAAGGCGTGTATTGTTCAAATGTGGCATTGAATGATATGGAAGTTCCTTCAATTGCAACCCTTCCAGTATCAAATGTTCGAGCTGGGTTGAAATTCCACTAGTAAGATTTTCAATGGCTATATTAGAGATATGATTGACACTTACATTAAGAATCTTTAAAACTGTAAAATTTGACAGTGAACCGTTTTCTATGTATGAAATCTGGTTTTTAGAAATATCTAAACTTTTTAAACTTTTAGATAAAGTAGATATATTAGTTAAACTATCTTGATCTAATTTTTTTAAACTGTTTCCGCTCATATTCAGTGTCTTAGTTTCCAGTGGAACAATGGGAAAGAAAGTAAGGTTTTGTCTTGAACAGTCTGTAAATGTTCCATCTAAAGAGCAGAGACACACAGATTGATTGGTGGTGTTGTTCACACATGGTACTCTCAGTTCTGTCTCGTTGGTCTCTTTAGATTCTTCCAGGTAAATTATCTCATTGTCTTCATATATATTAGACTTTGACACATGATAGTATTCGTTGATCTTTGACACATCATATCCTTTGCGGTTTGACGTATCGTATTCTTCATCGTTTGACACATCAAATTCGTTAGCTTTTGACACAGTATACCCATATCCGTTTAACACATCAAGCCCTTTGCCCTTTAACACATCATATCCATCGTCGTTTGACACATCGTATCCTTTGTCGTTTGACACATCGTATCCTTTGTTGTTTGACAAATCGTATCCTTTGTCGTTTGACACTTCATTTGCATTAGAAAATCTTTTAGCGTTTGAAACACCATTTGCGTTAACGATTTTGATATAATTAAAGGAATGACTAGAATCATACAATCCTTCAGGATGTCCCAGACCAAAAACAAATACCTTAACCAGTAATGTAAAAATCTGTATTACGTTTGCATTATGCATATTGGTGCGTTTAATAGAGAAATTAAGGTCTATACACAATCCACCTGGTGCAATGCTGTAACATATATTCCATTATTTGAATATCTCTTGATCTTGGCGAGGAACAATCTAGACTTAGCGTAACTGTGTCGTTCTTTTCTATTTAATGCGGTTTACAACGGAAATTCTTACAGGTACTAGCGTTTCAATGGCATTCAATATCCTCTTAAAGATAAGGGTTTTCCTTAATTTGAAGGAAGTATGCACTTGAAAGTTATCTTGTTTGGACTAATAGATAGTATTAGACACGGAAGATGTCGTATGTGTGTTATTAGGTAAACACTACCAAAACCATTATTGGTTTAATATTAAATATTTTTTTGTAAATCCTGCTGTAGAAAATGTTATAAAATTGTACATGATTTCACAACCCTTTCTTGTTGTAAATATGATATATTATAACACACATGAATGACAAAGACTCGATATAGACCTGCTACTTTTGTGGTCGATTGGTCAACATGTTCAAAATAGTAGTATAAAAACCAACGGCCGGTTGTTCTTGGTCGTCCAAGGGGCCTCTTTTAACCTCTGCTAGTGGTGGCGGAATAAAAGCACCCATCTCATTCTATGACAATTATCATATCTTAAGACCATATCATAAGACATTTTTATACAAAATTGTTTATGACAATTATCATAGCATAAGACATTTTTATACAAATTTGTTAATGACAATTATCATGTCATAATACCATAGCATAAGACATTTCTATACAAAATTGTTTATGACAATTATCATAGCATAAGACATTTTTATACAAACTTGTTTATGACAATTTACATATCAAAAGACATTTTCATTATAGAATATAAGACAGTTTAAACAGAATCATCAACGATAAAATTGGTAAAATTGATTCGATACGATCAGCATGCAATGTTGTAGAGGTTTTGAAACGAATATCTTTTGGAATGCTTAAAAAGGTTAAAGTCAGTTTTCAATAATATCATCTTTTTGGTAAGCAACTTCATATAGATAATCTATCGGCATCATCATCTGCATGTTCATCTTCATCTTCTACTTCTCCATAAAACTGTAAAGCCGCTTCGGTTTCTTCGTCATATTGGTTATTAGTGGGGTCGTCAGTGTTTTGCAATACCGTTGTGTCAATTCCCGTGTTGTTAGTCATCTCGATATCGATATTATTAGCAAGATCTACATCCGAGGTGGTACATTCATTAAATGCTTGATTCACAGCTACGTCATTTTCTTCTGGATCGTCATGTTCACTATCTGAAGACGATGACTCTTCAGGAACGGGCTGATTAGGATTGTCTTCTTCGGAAGCCAGTTTCATATCGGATGCTTTATCGACAGCAGTGTGCTCTTCTTCATCACCATCTGCAGCAACGACACGCTGTTTTTCGGCCGTTTCTGCCTTCATCTCATCGTTCTGTTTATCCACAGGGTGCTGAGTTCCTTCTACTGTAATACACCCTGTTTTGGATTGTTTTCTACCAAAATCATTGCTCTGAAAAGAATCAGATGTTCAGTCAGGTCAGTCGTAGCTGGTAATCGGTAAAGATTGTGTCTCTTTCTGGACAAAATCCGCCTCGTGAGCACTCTGTATTGCGTTGCTCGTTTTTTAAAGAGCAGAAGCCAGTCTTTCGTTCATTCACTTAAAGGGACACAATAGTCTAAAATGTGATATATCTATAAATTTGAACGGCATCAGAGGAACTTATCAACTACCTAACCAACAGCACAGAATCAAACAATTGAACCATCTACCAACTACTACGACTACCAACAACTACTTAGTATGCGATATCAGCATCGGCTAGAAGCGAACATTAACTTGTCATCTACCTACCTAACTAGGTACTTATATTGACCACGAATATAGGTTTTATTCTGCTTACCTGTGTATTGCTGTAAATGCTTGGTACCATCGAGTTGCTATCTGAAATTTAATAAACAGGTAATAAACACTACGAATCATCAGGTGAGGAAAGGGGGGGGGGGCAAAATAGCTGATAGAGACTGATTTCAGCTTCAATTGAGAATTTGTTCTAATTTTGCAGGGGGGGGGGGGGGGGCGGGGTGGATTAGTTACAGGCTTGCTTCAACCATTCAGCCATTGAGTCTTACCTGTGACAAGATCTTTTGATTTCGCACTTAATCTCGGTAACTTTACACTTTCCGTTCTACTCCTCTGAATAAAAAAAAAACATCAAGATGCAATAGTACAATAGGATAGTAAGAGTTTCATTAACACCAAATTTAAGAGTGGACAAGTCCAAATTTGAATTTGAATTGAGATGCAGCATCTGGTTATTGAAGAAAAGTGTTCTAGTGAGAAACAGCAAGTGTGAACATCTAAAAGAATTAGACTCTAAAATTTCAATTTATGTATTATATTAAAAGCTATTCATGTGGGTAAAACCACTGCCCGTGAAAATGTATTAATACCAGGAAGTGACGCATAGAGTTATTTTCATATAACTCTATAATTGGGCGTCGTATTTAAGTTTCAAAAACTGATAAGGATATATACCTATAATATCTCTGAAAAGGTTCTGCTGAAAACGTAGTCTGAAACTGACTTCTGATAGACATTTTTGACCTTACTTATCGGCTATTATAGAGCGTGTTTATCATTGTACATGTATTCACTTTAAAGGGATTGAAAAGAGGTTTTCTATATGTGTTATATGAACAGCATCAATTTGCACCATTCCAATTTTCAAACAGACGTCTGCGGTTCCTGCAATTTCACTAAAAGTATGTGTTTGATGACGTCACTAATTACGAAGGGCCTTATATGATTAACCATATTTCATGATAAGTGACGTCATCAAACACTTAGTTTTAGTGGAATTACAAGGACCCTAGACGTCTGATTGAAAATTGGAATGGTGTAAATTTATGCTATCAGTGTCCCCAATGCACATAAAAGTTTTAGAAAATCTCTTCACAATCCCTTTAATCAACATTCATTTTCAAATTTTTGGGTTCCAGTTTTGTTAGGTGTGATTTTAATTACCTATGTTAACGCTCTAGCACAGAAATAGTCAATAAAGTGGTTTAAAACCCCCATACATTTATAGGTGTAAGAAACTAAAGTTTCTACCTCTACACAAAAGCAGATAAGAGTTTCGGACTAATACAGTAAGATTAGTAGTGAAAGTTAGCTGTTAGTAATAGGAAAAAGTACTTAAATGCCTTACACTTCTCAAAGCACTGATATTTCTGGATCGATTGTGTCTGTAATGGAAAGATGGGAAAAATCAAGATATGAAGAAGTTTTTACCACACGGCATCAGCAAAACCAACCCACCCAAAACTTTCTATCATATATATGTAACAGTTAAATCATGTGCCACGCTATGATGAAATTCTTAAAGAATAAACATCCGTTTAACCAATCATACCTTAGTCACAGAAACAGGATTTTTTTAGCTAGGCTAATCAGTAATAGTGTTCACAGCTCACCTTTGAAATTTGAGCCTGTGTACAGAATTATCCGTGTTTGGAAGTTAAAATGACTACTCGCCTTTTTTGATACGGCATAATATTGATAAGACATATATATAGAAAAAGTAAATGAAATTGAAAGGGATGATACTTTTTTCATGCAGTTATAGTAATTCTGAAGACTATATACATACATTCAAGACTCAAATTAACCTCCAAAAATGGTGAACATGGCCTTTGATAGAAATAAAATGGAATCAATATTGATTGGATGAAAAACAACTTCCAAGAAATAAACTGGTGTTATATAAAATGAATTTAATGATTATTTGAATTAAATAACAAATTCACTACAATAAAATTAAATAATTTTGATAATGGAAAAATGTACAAGAATAACGCATTGTAATTCAAATAAACTTAAAAAAAAAAAATACATACTAAATCAATTTGGATTATCAAGTATCTTTATATGGATGGTAAACTTATTCAATTTTGATTGCAAACATGATCAATTTAACCAATTTACATTGTAAACTGTACCAGTTTTCAGTGTAACTGAACCGATTTTTATTGTAAACTGTATACAACTGAAACAATTTTCATTGTAAACTCGAACTGAACCAATTTTCATTGCAAACTTAAACTGAACAAATTTTCATTGTAAACTGTACCAAATTTTCAATGTAAACTGAACCACTTTTCATTGTAAACTGTAACTGAACCGATTTAGTTTGTAAACTGTAACGGAGCCAATTTTCATTGTAAACTTAAACTGAACCAGTTTTCATTGTAAACTTTAACTGAACTAATTCTCATTGTAAACTGTACACATTTTTTATTGCAAACTGAACCAATTTTCATTGTAAACTGTACCAAATATTCAATGTACACTGAACCAGTTTTCAGTGTAAACTGAAAAAATTTTCATTAAAAACTGTACAATTTTTTTTATTGTAAACTGAACCAATTTTCTTTGTAGACTAAACCGGTTTTAAATGTATACTGAACAATTTTCATTACAAGCTTAAACTGAAACAATTTTCATTGTAAACTCAAACTGAACCAATTTTCATTGTAAACTTAAACTGAACCAATCTTCATTGTAAACTTAAACTGAACTAATTTTCATTGTAAACTGTAACTGAACCAATTTTCATTGTAAACTGTAACTGACCAATTTTCATTGTAAACTGTAACTGAACTAATTTTCATTGTAAACTGTAACTGAACTAATTCTCATTGTAAACTGTAACTGAACAAATTTTCATTGTAAACTGTACCAAGCGAAAACTGTACCAAGTTTTGCTGTAAACTGTACCAATTTTGGATGTAAACAATTTTAGCATACTGATTCATTGTAAAAGTACCAATATTGATGGCAAACTCTACTATTTTTGATTGTGATTGTAAACAAACATTTGACGGTAAAATCTACCGTCTTTCATTTGCAAATTTACCATTCGCATCTTGATTGGATTTGCATGTCCTGCATTAATGGATATAACTACTTTTCATGCAATGATGACTGTGGATGATGAGATGAAGTTTATGGTTGAGATGATCAGGATTTGTTGGAAAGGGGAATTTGTTTTCCTTTCAAACCTGTAACGGGTGATGGAGTTTTAGATTCACATTCACAAACATTGGGAGCCTTCTTACATAGTTGAAACCTATAGCATTGAAACCTATAGCATTGCTTCCTCACTGGGAATTGTTTAAACGTGAGATTTTCACTTAAATTGGCACTATTCAGTTCGAATCTTTGTTTCTTTTGAATTTGTAATATTTCCGTTGCTCTCGTTCGTTTGGGAACACTGCTCGTACATTTTTTATTCATCAAACTTGGACTGTCGGCTCTGAATGGCATGATGGCGTAGCTACCTACTGGAGCAGGGTGTGAGTTTAGAAAATCTGAATGTATCTGTTCCTCTCGCGAGCTTCTTCCTGCTTCGGGCTGTTTGTTTGTCTTGCTGAGCTCGATAAGAGCCGCGCCAACAGGAGGTGAACTGCCGTGATGAAGTAAATCGACGACTTTGACTGCTGCAGGGGATTCCCCATCGATGCCAGTATTAGCATTTGCGTTGCTTGATCCATCTTCTTGATTTTCGTGCGACTGGCCACCCATGTCCACATTAGAGCTATGTGGTGCAATTTGTTCTTCTGCATCATTAGAATCTTCTGAGATACTAGAAGAGAGTGGATAGACAGAAAAGAAAAATGTAAAATAAGAATCGAGAGGTTGAAAAGAAAGGAATGAATGGAAAAGTTCTAAAGGAGCAGGAAAAGATACTGGGTAGAAATTTAAATGAAATGAATGGAGTTTTACGTTTTATTATTCTGTGCCTTTTTTGGATAATGAAGACTACCAATGCCTTGCAGTGTATTATGAGTGAAATTATGAAAAAAAATTACACTATTTCAATTTCAAACGATTTTTAACGTGCACAGCCTGTAGCATGGAGCCTCGGTTTATTGTCCGATCCGAACGAATAGATGTGTTTTTTTTTTCACCTCAGCACCTGCAACCAGAATCCCTGACAGGGGAACCCGAGTCGAAAAATCCGAAAGTATTATCTGGACCTTCAGGTTAGTGAGTTAGCGTCTTACTTACTGAGCCACCTCGCCTTTCGATAGAAGTTTATGCAATCAACGTAGTTTCGGTCAACGCAAAGGTGATTGAACCACAAATCTAAATAATCTGATTAATGGCTGTCTGCTCCCTCTTTCCAAGATATTACTTACATCTCTCTGGCCTCTCGAAGTTCATTTCTGAGTTCGTGTCTAGCTAAAGACAATTCTTTAAGATGTTGTGTTTCACCATCAGGGATGCTATATCGGTTTTTCAGACCTAACGCTGCTCCATTTAGTATGTACATCTTATCTGTTCTATGCTTCACCAGCTGTAACACATTTTGATAAACATGGGATCCCTGTGACATTATTTTTATTCTGAGTGTAATCTATGATTTTTACCCCGGGTACAACCAAGTTAAACTATTTTGGTTAAGATCGACAGTGGCAGAGCCAAAGGGGGATAGAGAAGGCAGCTCCGCCCCTCCAACCCCCTCGCATCAAAAGCAAGTCTTTCGGACAGAAATCTCATAACAAGGTAAGAAATTCGGGCAATCTCAGATATTTCGCCCATTGGTTCTGCATACTCGCTTTTCCCCCCAAAGGCTAAAGACTTTGGGTATTGATTGTGTGATAATTATAATTTATCTATATGCTAACTGTAAGCATATGTATGACGAGGCTTACCTCTGAATGTCGTTTTGTTGCCCTACACTGAGCTTTAGCAGCCCATTCCTTATCTAATCTCAAAGCTTGATGACTATGATTCCAGACCACAGGTTTCTGATTGCTCATGTTTCTTCTTTCGGTCGGGGTGCAACTCTGAAATAGTGTACTATCAAATATTACTCTTGTATTCGATTCTTACCACAAAACAAAAATGTGACTACTGCAAACATATCCCTGCATCTAGTTATTTATATGGTCACATCAGAAGGAAAATTCATGGAATCAATTCGTGTTTCTTCATTGTAATCGTATTGTTAATAAAAAGGACAATAATTTGCATAACTATAAATGGCACTTTCAGTCCAGTTTTGTTGGTACAGACACTGACCAAGACCACTCTCCGACAATCGACGGTTCGATACGTAGCCAAGCGTCACCCGAAACTGATGAAAATGTGCAGAAATTTCAGATAAAATCATATAAATTGTAGCTTCTGTCACCTGCGCAGCCCCTATCCATAGTAATGTGAAAGCGTATAAAGACTCTAAAGCTTACCATGAAGAACTCCGGGTTTCTTTGGTAGCATTCTGGATTCCTAACATAAGCTGACGTGGCTCTGATTTTCAGCATTTTAACCATAGAATCTTCTTCAACGTTTTCTTCTGTGGATCTACAAAAATTTATTATCATTTACACTCAAAATTTTAGACAAAAGTTCCACATCCAATACGTTTTTTAAAGATTCCTAAAAAAAAACTGTACAAAACAAACTCAGAATTTCAATTAAATATCTCAAAGAAGTCTCAAAGTCTTTGATTAATCCAGATGAACACTTGAAAACCAATAAACTTCAGGCAAACGTCTTAAATCCAAAAAGATTCCAAAATTGTGCCTCATAATTCAATATGAAACTATATATCAAGGCTTTGGATTTCTCGAGAAACGCACTAGAAAACAGCTCAGAATTCCAGATAAATGTCTTAGTATTCAAAGATTAGTCCAATCTTATGCCTCAGATTTCATCACAACACAGGGTTTTAGTCCCTGGTTAATCGAAACAAACACATTTAAAAGCAAGATCAAAACTTGTCGAAAACGCCTCAAGTCTAAAAAGTTTCCAAAATTGTACCTAAAAATTTAATATAAGACTTGGTCGAGGCTTTGGGTTTCTCAAGAAACACAGAAGAAAACAAGCTCAGAATTCCAGATAAATGTCTCAATATTCAAAGAATAGTCCAAAATAATTATGCCTCAGAATTTATCACAAAACAAGGTCGAAGTCTAGATTAACATAAGAAAACCAGATCAAAACCTCTGGCAAACGTTTCCAAATATTCCGAAATTATGCCTCATAATTCAAGGACTGAAGAATAGCACATCGCAATAAGTACAAAACGAACATGGGGCGAATATTAAGTCTGTCGAGACTTTATAAATGGACTACGTCTATACACCATAAAATACTGATATTTATAGATATAGATATAAGAATATGTCATTAATCTTTATCTCATAAGTAAACCTACTTAAGAAAGTCGTTTTGTGACCTGACATTACTCTTCATAAGCCTATTGATAAAAACAACACCAATATCATGTATTGGTTAAAGTGGCAGTGTGTACCAATTTACAGGATATATATTCAAGAAACGGGTTTTACATGACACGCTTAGATTGGGTAAAAATACTAGCTTTGAACATGCTTTTGATAGAAAACTTGTTAGATTACAATCGAGACTAAAAATATCAGAAAACAAAAAAAAGATATGAAATTGTAATTGAAGATATACCAACGCATCGAATAAACAACTTGAAAAAGTTTGGTTTCATGGCCATTACGGTAGCCGTACTCTCCAATCGATTTTAGTTTTTCGATCATCGATCAAAATCGAGGGTCAATGCAATATAATTTGTCAATTTGGTTAAAAAGATCAGACTAAATTATACTTACGGACATGGACTGGTATTGTGTTTTCTGAGATCATGGACATTTTCATCTCGTAATGTTCCCTACAAGTAAAATATAATTCGGACTCAAGAGTCAAAAGATAAAAAATATTAATCGCTCTTTTTGTTGTCGATACATTTTCAATCGGACATCAATTGTTGCAGATCTGTTCACATAGAAAGTCGACCATGAACTTTTGGATACTTTTGGAACTTATCATGCTAACTAACAACTAACAAAACGATAGCCGTTCCCCCAGATAAATATAATTTGTTCATATTTACCCACCAATAACCTAGACGAACTATATAACAAGACATTGGAATGACGAAAAATGTTTATCTACGTTATATTTCGCTTCACGAAATGTTATCTGCTGCAACTTTGAGCCATTTGGTCTGCATAGTGTATCATCCATGTACAATGATCATTTTGCTTGTCTAATAATCTTTGGTTATATGCTCAAAGTGACGGGGATCTATGGGTTGCAAACCCAATCAATCCACTTTGTCTTGGAAATGGGATGTTAACTTGGCGTCTGGCCAATGCAAGCAACCTTACTAAGCCTAGACGCTGGTATTCTTCAGTATGAAGACTCCCGCGACTCGCATCTAATTCAAAGGAGCTGATTTCATGCCGGTAAAGCATGTTTTGGAGGTGCAATTCTCATTAGAACAGCTGGTCAGTGGTCTTAAGATATAGGTATAATCAAATATCCTCAGCTGCTTTGATCGCGGTTAACCTTATACAATGAGAACTTACATTTCTTGGAGATGTGTTGTAATGAAAATTATAAAATTCTAACGGCAGTAGATCGGAATCTTGTTCGGGTCCTTTAAGTTTACCGGAGCTGAAAGCGGGTCGTTTGTTGATTTTACCACGAACGCTAGTTTTTTTTACGGTTGGGGTACCAACATTCAACAACTGTTTATAAATTCTTTCACTCGTTTCCGGCGCTGAAATGTAAAATAGTTATTTAAATGGTTGTTCTTTAACAATTATTACAGTCACTTGCTGTATATGAATATGAATTACAACAGTGTATCTCACACTGTTGACGAGTGTTTCGGATTTAAAATCGTCATCAAGGCAGCTGATTTGAAGATAGGGTTAATTATCCAACATAAACGCATAAAAACCTGAGATAAATTGAAATTGATAATAATTTTAATTGTTCATTATCGTAGCCTACAACACCATTTTTTTCTCAATGTATTGTAGAATTGACTCACAGCTCGACCTTGAACTTCAGACTACAAACTCGATCGATTTTCAATAAGTCTCAATAACAACTGATCGATATTGGATCAAAATTTGCTAAATAGCTCTTTAAATCTATAATATGGGACTCTATCTAACTAGTCACGAAAAGCATGTCGTTGTTTACTCACCCAGGCCGGAATTAAAAGGTTTGGACATTTCCCGAAATATATCAGAAGTTCAGCAAAATTGGTTTACATGATCAATTAAGTCGATCTCCCTATTGAAAGTGAAGTGGTGTTTATAAAATTGACATTTTCTATTGTGACGTATAGTAACGACGTTACCACAATAAATAGTGGGAGAAGTCATTTCTCCTTTTCACGCCATGCCTGTAGGATTTGAGACGGCGTGTCAAATTCATTTGCTATTACTTATATTAGACTGTCATGTAGTTATTAAGCCAATAAATATATCATTCGAACCATTGTTAGTGACACGATATCAATGAGCCGCCATTGATCGCCAATGTAGTGAGGGTCTAATATTGATAAAGGATGCCTATGTATGGCAACAAGTTTGTTTTGTTTTTTTTTGGACCAAAAATTACTACTTAATATAGTCTATGTATGCCCACATGACTTGAAATCTTTCACCTACAAACGAATGACATGTTAGCTCAGCCATCTTTTATATTGGCGACCTCAGGAGTGTGGGTAAGAGGGGCTGGCATAGAAAGGATGGGACAATAAACCTAGGCTCTGTATGCAACAGGCTGTGCTCGTAAAAAAAATCCCTCGACAGTTGGAAATCTACTATTTTTTTTTTCAAAATTTAATCTTATTTATAATTGTCATGCATAATGTGTTTTTAATGGATTTATTGACATTCTCCACAGGAAATAACATAACATAACTATTGAAAGGAAATATGCTATATATCCTTCATGAGCACATTCTTCCGTTATGTATGTCATTGGTATTATCTCCAAGCATCTCATCCAAGGCCTGTTTGAGATGGGAAGGGACACCTAAGCAACTTACTTAATATTGTAATAATGGTAATCGTAAATGAACCAGAAGCCTTATTTTTATTCTGAGAAGTGATACAGACAGCTGAAATTCAGATCTAGTAACTTGGAAAACTAATTATTTCGATAATTATGTGACCCTTTAATAAATAAAAAATACGAAGAAATTTTGTACAAAACCTTTTATTAATTACATATGTAAATGCTTTAGTTAAAAGGTAGGCAAAAAAAAACTCTTTGGTGCATATTCAATATGCCAATAAAACAGCTTCATCATTAATATCTTTATAACCTCAACTACAGGTTTGAATATAACTTTAACAACCTCCTTTGATAAATTATTCAAATGAATTATGTATGAAGTAAAAAAAATAAACTTATTGTTTGGATGGAAGCATTATATTGCAGATTATATATGCCTTGAAAGTTTTATCAGGGTCCCATGGGTGTTGATATGCAGTTAAAATGAAAAAGGACCATTTCATCCGAAACTTTTTTATTTAAAAAAGATTGCTCCCTCTTTGACACTACAGGAAATGATAAATGTGTGCACAAAGGGGGAGACAATTTTAAAACAATATTTTCTTCAGCTGGCACACACTCCCCCTTTAAATGAATATATCCCTTAAAGGTATACTACCTCTTAGAATGACCAAAAAAAAATGACATTTTCAAACTTTCAAAATGAGACTTTTTTTTCATCAGTGGACTTACCATAACTATACAACAGAATCCCTCTATAATCCAATATATCCATAAAATTAAGTAATAATTCATTAAACTAAGTAATTTTGAAACATGCTTAGAAGAGTTTATATAGTTAAATGGATATATTGTCTTATATAGAGATTCTATTCTTTAGTCATGGCATCTGGTAAGTTCAACTGATGAATATATACACT